CTTGAGCTACAGGCACTGAGCCTATTTATGTATTTATTTTATTTTTGTAGAGATGGGGTCTTGCTATATTGGACTCCTGCACTCATGCTATCCTCCCATTTTGGCCTCCCAAAGTGCTGGGATTATAGGTGTGAGTCACCACATTCCTCCTTTTCTTAATGATTTTTTTTTTTCTTGAGACAGAGTCTCATTCTGCAACCCTGGCTAGAATGCTGTGGTATCATCATAGCTCACTGCAAACTCAAACTCCTGGGCTCCAGTGGTCCTCCTGCCTTGGAGTAGCTAGGACTATAGGCATGTGCCACCATGCCTAAGTTTTCTATTTTTTTTTATAGTGATCGAGTTTTGCTATGTAGCTCAGGTTGGTCTCAAACTCCTGGCCTCAAACAATCCTCCTTCCTTGGTCTCTCAAACTGTTGGGATTACAGGTGTACGCCACCATGCCTGGTCTACTTTATGTATTCGAGTCTCTTCTGCATAAGACACACGTGGCCAGTGAAGTCAGGAGCTACCCATTTTGGGAAAGAATAGAAACCTTAATTTTGGCTATAATATAGCTTAATCTTTAACAGAGAACTAAAAGAAGAAAGATGGGGCTTAGGTAATACAAGCAATTTCTTGGGCAACACAGGGCTGCAGCTGGAGATTAAGCAGCATAAAAGAAAGCAGCATTTTTATGAAGCACTCTGCGATCAAACTAGGCAGGGTTTGCTCGGGGAGAACAATTTAGTTTCAGAAGATCAAGCTGGAAAAGTACAGTGGAGCTGGAGGGCCTTGAGGTCAAGTTCAAAGACCTCAGTGAGGCCCACAGGCACTGGGAGGCACTGGCACCTGGTGAACAGGATAACGGTTTGTGAAAATAGCATTTTAGGAAAATTTCTTCAGCACCTACTCAGTGTCAAACATTTGGATACAAAGTCTCTCAGTTTAGTCTAGCAAATAGGCATTTTTAGCCCCAATTCGTGAATGAAGAAGTGAGCTCACTCAGGTTAAGTTGTTGTTTAAAATCTGAATACAGGGCAGAGCCATCAACTTAGGACAGTATAGGACACGCCCCAGGGTGAGGTTCTGAGAGCCACACTGAGCAGCAAAATTGGTAAAGCTAGAAGGGAGAATGACAAGGGACAGAAACAGGAGCAAAAAAAATCAAATTATTAGGCAAAAAATCAAATATGTGCATTAGAAGGATAAGGAAAAGGAATCCGTGCTAATAATTTCAGCTGGGTATCGAAAAGAACAAAATTCTAACAGAAAGAGAGAGTTGTGGACACAGAACTGGGTTTGGTGGGAAGGAATGAAGGAAAAGGAGGATGATAAATTTGTTATGGGACATTCAGAAGGAGGCATCTAACAGGCCAATAAGAAATTCAAAGGCCGGGGCAAAGGAAAGTTTATCAGCCTAGAAGGAGTGAGGAAATGCACCGGAGTTCAACAGGCTGAGTCAAGGGCGTGTGCAGATTCTATACATATGTTACACAGGTCAATTAGAACGAGAAAAGAAGAATAAATAGTTTTTAGCGTACGTATGTCCCGTGCAGTATTAGGAACATGATTACACTAAGCTTTTTGCTTTTTGGTTCTCTGAAATTTAAATTTAACTAGGACTTCTATATTTAACCTGGCACCCCCAGCCGTGTTTCTGAGAGAAACTATACAATAGAAGACTGAATACATGTTGAGAGGTGACTGGCCAAATAGAAGCCACCCAACTGCAGGTGGTAAAAAGCTGAACTAGGACTCAAAGATGTTTGAAGAAGGCTCCCCACACTTCCACCAGGTCTCTATCCAGGCCCCGACTCTTTGCAGGACAAGAGAACTCTGTAACGAGGTACATATTGTGAACAGGCTGCAGCTGGACACAGAGGGCTATACAAGTAGTGTGGCATGGAAGATGGCCCTTAGCGGGAAGAAGCCAGATGGACTGGCTATTTAGATGGAAATACCAACTGGGCCAGGAATCGAGGTGGCCTTCTTTTTATTCAGGAGAGTGGTCTCCATTATTAGATGGGAAAGTAGTTGCAAGATACATAAATATGTTTCTAAGCATGAATGATTTTGAGTTCTTAGGAAGATTGTCTCAGATACTCAGAGTTCTGGGCCCATGTCTGGGTGACACAGGCCTAGAGATAGAGGCAGGAGAATTGGGGGGGGAGGGGGCGGGTCTCAAAGACCTTTGCATAGGATGGAACTAACATTCACTATACAAGTTAGTGCTAAAACTAAAGACTAATAATAAGAGGTGATTTTCCCCCATTATATATATGC